AAAATGAGGAATGTAAGGTGGACATCTAATGTACTTGTATACAAATTTTCTTTTTGTCCCTCTTGATGAATACGCAGAGGCATTGTAGTGATCGAAAATTATTCTCTGGTGAAACTTTCCTAGGCGCCATGTTGTTCAGATTTTAACACTTTTGGAATGAGCAGATGTTACTGTTTCTTCCACTTTGAAAACTTAACTCCAAAAATACCCCGAGCATCCCCCCACTCAAAAACACACACACACACAAAAAAAAAAAAAAAACAATTGCTATACACTGATTTTGCTTTAACTGTACCCTACCTTTACTTTTTCTCACCTTTGTCCCCAGAACTGTACTGGTAAAGCCAGATTTAATCTCACCTTAAAATTTGCGACAGAAATACTTCGGGATCCAATTTGTGTGAAACGTTCATTGAGAGCTCTGCGCTTACCTGATGCTGATCCTGTTATAAAAGTTTTGGTTCCTCACGTGAAGAAAGTGTCCTCAATTTAATTTTTTTCAAATAAAATTGTGTGAATTGTACCAACTAAGATGACCCGGGTGTTAGATATTATTTCTGTCGTTAATTGAGAGTCATCAATTAAATCCCGAATCGCATCTACTCAGTCTCATTCTTCTTTGAAACGAGTTTTTCATTTGTAAATTGCTGATTCTTTTCGGGAAATTATTTTCATAATCTATTCGCCAATAATGTTCTCAGTTTTCCAAGTTTGATGTGAAATTCGATGTTAGTTCCAGTTTCAAGTTAGGCAGGATTCAACTTCCTCTAAAAACGCTTGTTTCAGCTTTCTACCTATTTCCTCGAAATTCTTCCGCTTCATACGTGTTATAAAACATAATTTCATTTTCATTTGGCTGGAAACAAATATCAAAATAACATGCTTTTTTCACGAATACTCAAAAGTAAAACTAAAGAGTATTTCTCAATACCTTTCTTTAATATTAAATTCATTTTGCTTGTGTGCTTGAATGAGAACCACTCAGTCACATAAACTACTACAATCCAAAGGGACATAAAAATCATCAATGATAAAAAAATTGATGATACCAACAAAAAAAGGTTTACCTAAAGTTTCTCTCATCTGTCTCAATATCTTTCTTTTTTTATTAATGATCTTCTTAGGAACGTTCTTAGATTATTAGTAAACATTGATGGAGATGTGAATTCTGGATTCTCATAATAAACGTTATCCAACAATCGCCAGTGTCAAAAAGATCTGAATAAACCTTTTAATGGCATTCGTAAAGAGTTTTTTTTTCCCTAGTAAAAAATCAGACGCTAGGTATATTTGCATCGTCCTAAAACATTAATATAAGGACATTTTCTTAATATCTAATTTATAATCTACATGGTTTCTACTTTTGGTAATAGTAATAAATGTGCTGCTGCTAGAGCAGACATTACTTGCGTGGTTTCTGTTTTTTATCGCTTTAAACGTTATTTTTTAGCGGATACTAATATTTGAGCAGACGCTCCGTTTGTTTATTAAACAGTATATTTATTTATTTACGTTTAGCGGCCTGAATATTGGAAAAATCTTGTTAAAGCGAAATATGCGCTCTCCGACAGGTTTTGAAATCGCGTATCCCTGGGCAGAGGGAAAACATTTTTTAGATGCCTTAACTAACTCGGCCACGAAGAAGTTTTTCCAGTTAATCAAGGTCTGAACTGTGTCTTTAAGAGAAATCCTTCTCGTCATAGATTCCTCGAAATTATCATATCAGTTTCGTATCCAAATGTAAACAAAGTAATTCTCTAAAGAAGTAATGGATTATTTTTTTTTTATTAATTCGACATATTTTTATTACTTTAAAAGTTACTTTAGCGGATACTTATATTTGAGCAAACAATCGGTTTATTTATTAAACAGTTTAATTATTTATTTTCGTCTACTGGCTTGAATATTTGAGAAATCTTAAAGAAAAAATAAGCACTCTCTAGGAGGATTACGAAATTGCGTCCCGCTGGACAGATGGAAACCATTGTTAGGTTAGGCGTGCCTTAACCAATTCGGCCACGAAGAAGCTCTGCCAAACAATCAAGATCTGAATAGTGTCTTTAAGCGAAATCCTTCCGTCATAAACTCCTCGAAATGATCATATCTGCTCATCTTCGTATCCAAACGTAAAGTAATTTTCTAAAGAAGTAATGGATTTTTATTTTTATTAACCCGACAGATTTTTATCACTTAAAACGTTATTTTTAGCAGATACTCATATTTGAGTAGAAGCCCCGTTTATTTATTAAACAGTTTGTTTATTAAATAGCGTATTTATTCTCGTCTACCGGACTGAACATTCGAGAAATCTTATTAAAACAATACAGGATTCGAAACTGCATCTCCTTCGCAGAGGGAAACCGTCGTTAGATCCGACTTACCTTAACGAACTCGGCCACGAAGAAGTGTTGTCGATCAAGTAAGGTCTGAGTAGTGCCTTTTAGGCGAGATCCTTCTCGTCATATATTCCTTGTCATTATCATATCTGCTCAGTCTCGTATCCAAACGTAACCAAAGTAATTTTCGAAAGAAAGACTTTTTTAGGACTTCCTTCTTTCCGTCTGAAGTCGTGTGGAATGTCTCCATCTTCCCTACGTCATTATTCTCTCTTCCAGTTAACGGGTAACCTATCTATTTTAGTTATTGCTGGTGATGAAAATTCTCAAGTGATGTATTTCTGTTATTTAATACAGTTTTTTTGTGATTCTGTAGCGCCAGTCGACAATATTTAAAGACGGATAATGCTAACTGAGACCTACAAGTTTCATTCTACATATCTGTGACAGGTCGGGTTTCGAAAAATAGAAACATCTCGATCACTACACAAATATAAGCATAAATGAACACTAACATCTAATCGGATGATAACACCTGCAACGCATAGCCTGCAAATGAATTGAAGAAAGACAAATATCCGCCGACGATTGTTTCACTTTGTTTCATCTGCTCCATATTATCACCGTAATCTGCCAACTGATTACAGGTTACGTTCTTCCGGGATGACGCGGCCACTTTAGATTGGAATCTCTTGCTATCGCTGTGTATCTCATCATCATCATCATCATCATCATCATCGATAACGCAATCAGCATCATCATTTATTCAAATCACATTCTTATTTGCAATCAGTGTTCGCTGCCTTTACATTACATCTGGCAATCCGTCTCCACTGAAAGCCAGCCGTTAAATATTTTTATGCAACTTAGATTTGCAACAAGACAATTTCTCCATTGGCTCTCTTACATGTCAAGTCAACATTCTTCATTTTCGTAAATAATATAATTATTTTCGTTCTTTTCTTGTATTTATTTTAGAAGATAATATATTCTGATTTTCTTCCATTCTTATTTTCTTCCTTTCTAAACATACAGCAGTACTTTTTTGTTTTTTACAAAGTTTCTCATCGAATTTATTTTCTTATTTTCTGATATGCTTTTCTTTCTTCTAGATATTTCTTCTTCTTTTTTCTAACATCTTCTAACATCTTTTACATCTTTGCTAGATTTTCTCCTGCAATAAAATTGTTGTGAAGTCCTTTGCGTTACTACTCAATACTCATGCAAAGTCCCTCCTCCTCATAATCAGAGTCATTATATAGCCTGGGTATTCCAGATATGTTAATTACTACATATCAGTATAAGAATTTTTATTCTTCCTCGCTGTCTCTCCAGTATGTTCTCTCCTTTTTCTTGTCGTCCTTCCTCTAAATATTTTTTCTTATTTTCTCGCCGTCTCTACTGTAACTATCTTCCTTTTTTCTCGCCGTCTCTTCTGTAACTATCTTCCTTTTTTTTTTCTCGACGTCTCTCCTGTAACTATCTCCCTTTTTATCACCGTCTTTCCTGTGGCTATTTTTCTTCTTTGCTCGCCATCTCCCCTGTAATATATTTTCCTTCTTTCCTAGCTTTCTCTCCCGTAAAATCCTTTTTCTTACTTTCTCGTAATCTCTCTTGTAAGTATAGTTTTTCTTTTATAATGTCTTTCCTCTACTATCTTTTTATTCTTTCCTTATCTTCCTTCTCGTAATATTCTTTCTTCTTAACTCCCCATGACCCTGTTTTTACCTTATTTAATTCTTTCTTTATTTAATAAACTTGTTTTTTTTTTATTTCTTTTCTTTTTTTAATCAATTCACCGCAAGCAAGGTGATAAGGCCAATAACTTGAAAAACGTTACTGGGACTGAGAGAGAATGTAAAACATTTTAGAAGGAACCGGAACCCCAATCCTAAACGGGAAATAAAGTATAAACCTCTACTCTTGTTTAAAACTCCAAGGAGGAGTGTTAACCTATCGATAGGTGAACCTAACTACTCTTAGTGAGGAAAAACAAAAAAAATAAATAGTAAATAAAATTTCAGGCGGATGCGTTAAAAGCATAGAGTCGAAGTAGACTTTAGAAGGAACCGGAAACCCAATCCTAAACAGGAAACAAGGGATAAATCTCCACTCCTGTTCAAAAGAGCAGCTAGGAGTTTGAACCGAACGTTAGGTGAACCTATCTACCCCCAATGGTGAAAAATATCTTACTGTTCCAAACTGACAACCACTTCTTCGTATTGATTTGTCTTAATGATGATTATCTTTTCTGATCAAACAGAAACCGATCTTTCACCATGCATTCGTCTTTATGAAGATGAGATTACTCAGTTGCATGCATATATGTAATGGACACACTAGGAGGCTCGAACAACCTTCCGTCGTAATTATGCACGACAATTTTGCTTGTCAAAGATTAATCCATGTCGGGATGTTATTCTAATGCCATTCATTATTCTCTTTCTTCTCTATTTCTATTTCCTTTATTCTTAATCTTTCTTTTGTATGTTACTCTCTTTCTTTTCCTTTTCCACCCCATTTCCATCTCTGTTTAGTCCTTGTTCTTCTTTTCTTCCAATGCATTTTATTATGCCTTTCTTTACCTCTTCTCTTAATCATTTTCTCTTTGTTTCATGTCACATTTTTCTTGTTCCTTTCCATCTGTTTCTTCTTGTTCGTTTAAGGCCATATCACGTTGAAATATCGGTTCCCGAATGATCACCGTAGTTATGCGACGTCGAGCCTGGTCAGTACCTAGATGGCCGGCCGTTTGAGAATACCAGGTGTTGTAAGCTCGGATGTGCGGGTAATGTAATGGATAACGGCTCAGAATTAGAAGCCGAAGAGCCGAGTTCCAATTCCAGTCGGGTTTGTTATATTCCCATGCGCAAATACACTTGGAGAAGGTATGAATCTACCACTTCTCCACACAGCTATGGGTTAATTAGTTGGACTTGCTCCAGTAAATCATTATTATCTCAAAAATAAAATCTTAACATCTAAAAATATTTTCTAGTTTTAAATACCCTGCAAAAGGTTGATAAGTCGTAAAAAATTACAAATGAAACTATTTTCTTTCTTTTATTTTCTGTTCGCTACCTTTCCCATCCTTTTTCTTCTTTTTTTTTCCTAATTTCTAAGCTTAGTTATAATATGGAAAAGGGGCAAAATGTATTGAGAGTAAGACAATTGTTTTGCTTCAATCTTCCAAATGTAGAAAGTCTGCCTAATTCTTAACTCAGTATCTGAAATCCTGGCCATATTAAACATCGACCTTTAACACTGATTTTATTTTTCAAACTGTTTCATCCTCGCTTCATTTTTTTTCTTCTTTCCTTATTTTCATTTTTCCATTTCTGTTTTTTTCTCTTTCCTTATTTCGCACAAACCAGCTGCAAAATCGATATCTTCCGCTCAACTAAATTCTTCAGCTCGATCTTTTCTTATTTACATACGTTCAATAGGATTTCTCGCGAACGCAAAGAACGTCCAGTTCTTTATGAAGTCTTCTCTCTCCACCACCTATTTCTTTTAATCAACCAATACAACGATTCCATTGTTTTTTCCCCACAACCTGAATTTGTTGTGCTGACATTCAAGGCCAGTGACGATATTACATGAATTGCAATAGAATTAATCTATGTGTTCACTGGCCCCAAGAGAAAAAAGCTTTCAGAGAATACAAAGTTTATAGAGATATAAATATAAGAAATTGTCATGAGAAGCAAGTAATATTTCATGCGTTTCATTTTCTCCAAATCGATTTTCCAGCGAGCAACATACTTGTTTAAACTGATCAATGTACAGTGTACACTCGATCAAATTCATACGCACGTTCAGATGTAGCCAGTAGGTGGTCATGTCATAAGCTCATTGGATGAAGACGTTTGTACTTGAACAGGTTTCACCCAACCTCGCTTCTATGACTGAATGTTGGACGTTAGTGAAATCTTTTACGCCCTCGAAATGCTCATTACCCAATCTATCTGCGACACACAGTTGAATTAATATTGATTCGATATATTTGCTTGCTTACGGCCGTTTCGTATGACCGACATTGTTCTTCATGAGTGTCAATTAAGTTAGGGGTCGCTTATCTTTCATTTGTTCTTTTTTGTATCTTTTCTCCTTCAAACGAACGGCAAAACTTGTTTTCAATACAAGAGGATGGAAAAAAGAGAAAAGTGGAAAATCACTTCAATTCCACTTAATAATTCCATTTCTATCAGGTTTTTAGGTGTTAGGTGTCTCACAATTGTTGTCGTGTGCCAAAATGAAGTTAAGCTTAGCTAATATTTAAAGAAAAATGGTAACCAAGTTAGTACCGTAGCTCATTCCTACTAAGAATCCGCACTAGGTATCATATTTTATGTCATGACCCGTACTAAATTATGGTTAGCTAATATATGTCGTGGAACTTCCATGAAGTCAAAGGTCAAAGAATCTCGTCTAACTAATCCTTACTGAGTGAATTCGATGCTTACTGACTGTCCTATACTTGTGATCATACAAGCATGTGCATCCATTAGCCAAGCATAATCGATATTAAGAAAATGGAATTTTCAACATATCATAATTGTTTATAATTTTTGGTTTAGGTTCATGCGTGTATGTGTGCTCATACCTTGCCTTTGTTTGTGTGTGTCCTCTCAGGACAATGACAAATAACAATTTCTGTCTGAATTTCTGTGACAAGGAGTTATTACCATTTACAGTAATAACATTCGGAATCATGTTTTTATCGTTGTTGTTAATACCACAATGTTTCGGCTGTTTGTCCTCGGCTTTCTTCAGATGTTTTTCGATTCGATTAAACTTCAAGGAATTTCGAACTGAATCTTTTATGCAGCAAAATCCTAGTGGTATAAAGCGTTGGTTCTTGAACTTGGTGGCATAGTAATTGTGGGTGCAAACCCTGGTCCGAATAGTCCAGCTCATGACTCAGTTGAACAGGAAGAGCAGTTCGAAATAAGAACAAGACGACATATGGACAGCATAACGATAACAATCTACCCATGTAAGTAAAATGACATTGACCAAATGAGGAGAAGACTAGTCAATAATAGTAAATAATTTAAAGCAAGTGAAACTACTGAAATCCACATGACCTAATAATGTTAAATTTAAAAAAAAATCTGAAAGTTCAAATTTCATTTTCCTAATTCTATTCATTTTGTCGCCCTGTCGGTTGGGGTCAAGAATACGCTGATTACATCCTCGTGCAGAGGGGCAACCCACTCCAATATAGATATTACCAGTCTGCTCGAGCGACGTCTACATCGCGCAAACCGGAAAAAAATCTCCTTTTTTTAACTCTCGTGCAACTCGGACCAATGTCTACCTATTTGACTCTCGTGCAAACCGGACCAATATCTACATTTTTGATTCGTACAAACTGGACTTGTTCTATTTTTTTTATTCAAGGGCAAACCAAACTTTTCTTTTTGTCAAGTACTAGAAATATAACTACCTTTTGAAATTGTTAATGTCTACATTTCTTACTCTTATGCACCCCGAAACTATACCGACATTTTTAGACTCGTACAAAACGGACTTATGTTTACTATTTTTTTCAAAACAACAAAATTCAGCATTAAATAAACTAGAAAAGGTTGATGTGCCGCAAAACAGAAAAAAATAAAACTATTAATTTCAAATACATTGCGTGCCTCAATTGAATAATTTATATTGATTTTATTTGTTTAATTGGTCAAAAAGTTGCTTCTCTGATTCCAAATCCTGCTAAACATCGATCGAAAAATTTAACTCTGTAGAAATTTAACTATATTAACGTTTTTTAATATCGACACATTTAAATTTAGTTTTTACTGCATGAAATGCTCATTTAAGAGAAAAAATATTTAAATCATGCTTCAAATGCTAATATATACACAGAATCACTTTATTCACTTCTCGTACAACACAGTCGTCTTGTCTAGATATGAGTTGGCTATTACCTCAGTGTGTGTTTGGTACCTTATTAGGTGGCTCATATTACTGGCCTTGGGCCAAACTTTGCGAAATTTAATAAATGTATTCGCACACGTTTAAGGAATAGTGGTTTATAAGGAAGTGTCGAAGAAATTTACTACAGTATTGAGTTCGATCCTAACTAAATCTCCAATATCTGTAGCCTTGTACCAGACTTAGCTAAATTTTACAAATACGCACAAACCTGAAGAATAGTGGTTCATAAGAAAGTTACTAGAGTAGAGTTCGATCCAATATTTGGAGACTTTTGCTAAAAAGATTAATAAGTAAGATTAATAAATACTTATGCACATATACACAGATTGTTATATTCTGTTATGATTGTCTACCTCTGTGTGTATTTATACACTGTGTTGTTGGATAGAAGAACTATATTAGAAAACTGCTATAAATAAATAAAGATATTAAGAAAGTAAATCACTGACAGCGATTCTTTCTCGCTTAAATCTCTTGATCTTCCTCCATTTTTTCCTTAATAAGCCAATTCAATGGCTAAGAGAAATGTAATCAAAAGAAAATCCTTTGTTTTCCTTTTTTTCGGACGGTTTTAGATTAAACGTGCAATGGAAGCAAAAATTTTGAGATTTGAGAAAACTAGGATAAAACGGCACCAAGGAAACATAATAAAACAAAGACGGATGCATTGATCAAACATGGCCGACAAATACATTTATCTTTTGCGAGTTATGAGCGCTCGGCATGTCCCTATTGGCAAAGGCAGGCAGCGTTTCTCTCTGCGTTTATTAGAGAACTCCATAGAAATCATTCTTAAATACATCGCGTTTTTTGTAAAAGAAAAAAAAAAGATCCAGACATTCACACACACTCTCATTTAGACATTCATGCATAAGTTCTCACAAATACATATGCACACATTCAAGCATGCACAGAAATAACTATAGGCACACTTAGGGATATGCCCACACTTCTACGTGTGGACTGTGTTACTTTTTTATGAAATTCGATAAGGACTTGCATTGGCACCAGAAAGTGCCGATATTCAGTAAAATTTTAAAAGAATGAATATTGGAAAATCAAAATTGGTAAGATTGTTAAAAGAACAAGAAGAAAACGAAAAAAAAAGTTGCCAAAGAATGAATAAGAATGAAAGGAAGACACCTGAAAGGTAGAAAGACGCAATGAAAAATGAAATGAAAGCAAACAGCAAGGTGATAGGAAAATGAAAATGAAAATGCGCGGAAAAGTAGAAAATACTCGAGGAAAGTAGAATGAAAAAAAGTTTGTTGATATGATCGAACAGTTTCTGAATGTATGAATGTTAACCTACGCTATGAAAAAAAAAGAAGAGAAATTTCGTAGGAAGGAAGAAAAAGGAAAAAAATGAAGAAAGAGGCTAGAAAAAAAAAAGGAAAAGATAAATAAAAGTGGAATAATAAAGAATGAAGTATAAAAAGTAGTTTTAAAGTGGGAGAATAAGGAGAAAAAAACAGTAAAAGATTATAAAAATTATACAACAGGGGGATGAGAGAGAAAAATGTCAACAGGCGATGGAACTAAAGTGAGAAAAGAGAAATCAAAATTGCAGACAAAAAATACCACTAAATAAAAGAAGTGATAAACCGTGAGAAAAGAAAGAAAGAAAGAAAGAAAGAAAGAAACAATCAAAATAGTAAACAAAAAAAGAGAGAGAAAAAAGAAATGGTAAATCCCGAGAAAACAAAGAAAGAAAGAATGAATCAGTCACATATGCAGAGAATACAAAACAGTGAATGAAATAAAAATATGAAAGAAAGAAGCAATCAAGATAGTAAACAAGAAAGACAATGAGAAGAAAAGAATAGAAGCAATTAAAATAGTATACACTAAGAGCTCGACAAAAAGAAAAAGAAAAGAAAAGAAGAAAACAAATAAAGAAAAATGACAAGAAAAAAAGGAGAAAAGATTTAGTAAGTATAAATAGTTTTAAAAGAGTTGAACGCTTTCTGGGGGGAAAGAAAGAGATTGAACTTGCAACGCTAATCCACTGCAGAAAGCGGAAGAACCAAGTCCAGTCATGGTAGGAATGAGAGGACAATCGATAAACATCCAATAAATCTCATTCAATTTATTCGTTAATAATCTTAACGCCATCCCGATTTAATCCAGCACTGTTCACCTCACGGTGGGAGATACACACAAGGCGACCGGTGTTATCCGAACAAAGTATCCGTTGTGTGAGGAGGCCAGATTACTTTGACCTGTTCTGTTACATCATCTTGTAGAATGCGACCAATAAAATGTCGCGAATTCTACTTTATATCCTTTGTGTACTAGATACGAACACACAGGCGAAAAATGCGCACATCAGGCACAAACTTTAGACACAGAAACGCTGACACCCAAGATAATCTGGTTCGTTTTCACCACTACTTGGAGCGCACATTCGTAAATCTGTACACTCCCACGTACATATTTACGAGTCCATTGGCAAGCGTAAAGGAACACATGCATGTTACTCTTACTGAAAATCAATGCACGCATTTTTCCCACGTATTTTCATTGTAATATTTCATCCGACCGAATAGAAGCATGTCTAGGAAGCGCGCATATGCATATCAAAAGGCGAAAACTTACAGATCAAATGCATAAATTCATTTAGATATGAATACAGATATATACTCAGGTTATTGGTTAGAACGCTCACACATATTCACACGCTGAAACAGTGCATGAATACAGAAAATATTTTGGTCATTGATTACAGTCATATTCAGATGTATGTGAATATGCGTGAAGGTGCATCAATAAGTTCGTAGCATAAATATTAACAACTTATTTAACAAACAAATACTTATTTTTCAAAATATACTTCATCATTGACCATGAATTTAAAGAAAAAATTATGCAATGAAAATTTCAGATAATTCATTTTTCAGCGTTAACAACATAATCTTTTATATATATATATATATATATATATATATATATATATATATATATATATATATATATATATATATATATATCTCACTGAATAATATAACATATACTATATGTATTTATTTTTATTGGTGTAAAATTTATTACGAGTGTAGCAGAAACGTGCATTTAACAAACATTTAATCACATCTTGCATTTCTACCAATTTCTAGTTAGCTCCCTTATTTTGGGACGCTCATTTTGCAAAAAAATACTTAGCTAAAGGAGATGAATTTAAATTTTTAAACAGAGCGAGTTCACACGTATTTTTAAAAAAACACCATCACAACGATCACAATTACACTAAGTTTGTCTTCGCAGTTCACTCCCTGAGGATGATCTCGGAGGAGATCGAATGTACTTGGGTCGGAAAAAACTACGGCGCCATCCTTGATGAATTATCTTAAGGACAAGAAACTGATTAAAGAACAATAAAGAATTATTATAAAAATAAATAGACATAATATGCCTATATTATTCAATGAAACATGTTTGAATATACATACATTAGTTTCATCTTTTCGGCGTCTTTAGGCGATTTCGGTTAATTGATTTCCTAACCCTCTATTTAAAAATTTATGAACGCTATCTTATTTAAAATTGTATAAACAAGCGCAAGACGTAGAAGGTGAGAAGGAGGTGTGGTAGAAGGTGAGGAGGAGGGAAGCAAGTGTACTGCAAATGTATTGTTGAGGTGAGGGTTAAATGAAATATAACACTTTATTTTCATCACACTTCATATGAACTCAAAAGAAACTTTTTAGTATGTATACAAGGGCCATAGTTTCTGATCTATCATTCAAAAGGATTTTTAGTTTGGAAATGTTACAGCTAACTTTTCTTGTTGACAACGATTGCAGATATTACTATGATTGTTGTAAACCTTACATCAATCATAGTAATATATGGATTTCCTACTCCTCACTTTCTACCATACCTCACGTCGTGCGCTTATTTATTCACTTACTTTTAAATAATAATCGCCTGATGATACCTAATTTTTTGTACTTATATATATATATATATATGTGTGTGTGTGTGTGTAATCGCACATTGAGTGCTGTTGTTATTAAAATATCGATACAATAAGACAGAGCTGTAAACTATATATTAATAAATATACATATTTTACCTCGCCGCTAGTACTACTATGTAATTATGTAACGGGTAGTCTTTACTCAGCACCTGAAGACTGCGTTATGCAGGAAACTCCGAGTATATCCACCAGTGAGGATTATATATATATATATATATATATATATATATATATTTAGGGATGGCCAAAAGACCCTTTACCCATTTCCAGTAATGATAAAGACAAATTTCTAAAATAACATAACTTTTATTTAATCATCGTACAATTATAATTTCAATATAACAGTTACATTTTCTTTATTTTCGTCGGTATTCATATGCTTCGAGCGGCCACTTCTTTTTACTATCTGCTTTTAAATCATTTAGACATTTGTTTACTCTTATTATTGGAAATGGGTAAAGCGACTTTTTGTCCATCCCCATATATATATATATATATATATATATATATATATATATATATATATATATATAACATATATATTATATATATATATATATATATATATATATATATATATATATATATATATATATATATATATATATATATATATATATATATATATATATATATATATATATATATATATATATATATATATATATATATATATAATATATAATATATATATATATATATATATATATATATATATATATATATAAAAATATATATATATATATATAATATATATATATATATATATATAAATAAATATATATATATATATATATATATATATATATATGCAAACACACACACACATATATATATAGATAGGTAGGTAGGTAGAGAGAGAGAGAGAGACAGAGAGAGAGAGAAAGAAAGAAAGAAAAAGAAAGAAAGAAAGAGATTTGCGCAGAATGTTTTCTGTTATACATGTTGCATTGAATATGATAGACTAGTACAAGTTTATTAGTTTTATTCCCCTTTTTGTAGCCTTCGTACAATTTTTCTTTTATTGGATTAAGTGCACACATTGATTATTGTTCCAAACCCTCCCGCTCAATTCATTAGCAATTTTTAAAGGGTGTGTTCTTCATCATTTTCATATTAGCAAACATAGTTAAGAAGCAGAAAACCTAAACTCCACTTTTCAAAAAAATCTCTGAAGCAAAATTTACATAACAACTTGGTCTTAACAATTAAATCATTTTCGACGATATTTACGAAGAACTTAACACTAATGTATTTAATAGTTCCTCATATAAACAGAAGATTAACAAGAATTCCAGCCTTCTCAGTTATAATACTCAATGTCCATAACGATATAAAATAGCAGTGATTAAAAAAAAATTAAAATTTCCTCTTCCCGGAAAATATCTTTCAGCGAATCCAAACATATAAAACAAGAATTGCTTAACAATGATTTCTTCAAGAACTTTATTGATATCCAAATAAAATTATTCTTACAAATATTAAACGGAACCACCGCGAAAGGGGTGCCGGACAACTCAACAACTTTACCTCAATACCGCCGACTGAACACCAAGATAACTCGGGACTAAGACAACTCAGGAACGAGACAACTCAGCAATAGTAAAACATATCTTTTCTATAATCGAATAAAAGTAACTTAAGGATTAAAACCTTAAATGGTGAATATTTTTCTTCAAATAAGTTATTTGAAAAAGCATTATGTAAAATATGAACCAGTTTTTTTTTTCTGTTTTTAATTATTTTTAATAAAGTAAATCGTAAAGAAATGTATTTTAATAAAGTAAATTGACATATAAGAAATAAGAATCTCAATTTACTTGATTAAAAAACGAATTACATTATGATTTACTTTATTAAAAATAATTAAAAACAAAAATCTGCTTAATTTTGTTTTGCATTTTTCGATTTACTTTAATTAATTTACTTTAATTTAAAGATTAATTAAAAACAAGTTTATTTTATTGGATTATTTTTATATGTGAAAGTAATAGATTGTGCGTAATATCAGACATCCTATATGGCAGTGAATGTAGGACAATCTCTTCAGAGACTAAAAAGAGACTTGAAGCGACAGAAATGTGTTCTACAAAAGGATGCTGGGAATACTATGGACTGAACATGTGAACCACGACCAAGTTTTAGAGAAAATGGAAACAAAAAAAATACTTAGAATCAGAAAGAGATAGTTGGTACTCACAAGATAGATTGAAGAGGGACAGTGAAAAACAACGCAAACCTATCTAGCGAGCAATGAGTAAGTGGATGGCAGAACAGAGTTTGAGATAGTAAATACACTAAAATTTATTAAGAGCGACAAAAGGACAGGAAATTATGGAGAGCCATGATTGTCAAAGTTCTGAAAGTTTTCGTCTAAATCAATTGACAGCTTTCAACAGATTCAAAAAACAAAAGACAATCAAAAACTATTAATATTTTATTTTTCAGTCAGCGGTGAAATGATGTAAATGTATTTTATTATTCTCATAAGATACACAAAAGAATTAAATTTAATGATCTTAATCAAAGGTAATATTTGTGAGTTACCCCCCATTTAGTTTCTCCGAGATGTTGTTAGGTGGTGGTGTTAAACATCTATAAAAACGACACACACACACACACACACACACACACACACACACACACACTCTCTCTCTCTCTCTCTCTCTCTCTCTATATATATATATATATATATATATATAACATCGAGTATGTGGTAGAAGTACGTCAACTGGTATCTACCCACGGGCATGCGGATATCTTTTCCCTTAGTGACTGAACTTGCACACACATAATTTCTACCTTTTAATGTCTTCTTTATCAATTATTTTTACTCATTACATAGTATAACATCAGAGTGAGTGCTCGTTGTGTGTGTGTATGTGTGTTTAATAGTAAGGTAATATATAAAAAAGGACGTGCATGTAAGCATAAATTTCATTTGCATTCAAAATAAAATAAAAAGGACTCATCAGAATGAGACAACTGAAATGTATTGGGTACATGATGAAGAAAGAGGACTTGAAAAATTTGACACTCACAAGGCAAGAGAGATAAAAGAAAGCTTGGGTATATGGATGAGAAAACAGGATTTAAGAGAATAAAAAGACAAAATTTGTGAAGAACTACAAATTACAAGAAATTGTGGAGTGCCAGGATTGCTAACGTCTTGAACGAGAATGGCATATAGAAGACTATTCAAACTTATACTCGATTGTGTAAATGTACAATTAATATTTTCATGGGTTTATATCTATAGCAAAAGATATGCTTGCCAATATGCGTTTATTTCTATCCCTTATGTGTGCGCGTTTTTGCATGTTAATACAAGTGAATTGGCCATTGTCAGTGCAAAGAGATGTGTGTGCGCTCGTGTACGTGTGTCGACTCCACCAGTGTCATGTGACATCGGGATCTTAATCAAGCGAGATACTTTGATGCAGTCATTTTCTTCTTGGCCCCCGGGGTCATGTTCGTCTTCCTTGCTGACAAACAAACACATAAACATGGCGCCAAACTTGATGAACACGGCAAGGGATCGATGCTATTTACTTGGCCAACCAAGTCTTACCGCGCTTCCGAATCTAATCCGTGGGAAAATTAATAGAACTTCGATTGGAAACTGTTTGCATCGTATAGAAAAACAAGAACGACGCTTTTCTCGAACGGAAAATAGAAGGAGAATAGAGAATGGCTTATTCCCCTGGAATTGATGCAGTTGTGTGAATGGGTAGGATGGATGTGTACTCTTGTTTGTGTCGTAAATGTGTAAAAATTTATGTCCGTATTTAGTTCGTTAAATGTATATGCATGTGAGTGTTTGTTCTTGCATGTTATTCGCCCACTTGAGTATGTATAGCGAAATCCGTGTTTATTTCTATTAAGGATGAAATTGATTTGTGTTTATGTACCAGAATTTATGCGTTTATACTTGTATTTCTTTACGCGCTTCCGTGAGAACGTTATCTCGTACGACACTGCGGCAGTGAGTATTTTAAAAAGAAAATGAGTGAATCGGAACAATATCGACAAGACTGAGAGAGAAGGACATTTGTGAGAATCTGAAAGAACGAGGGAGGAAAATAAACTTTTTTCCCTGCGTATATTTGTTGACCGTACAAAACAACATCGACACGCGCATTTTATTTCCCCCACCTCATGTAAATCCTTTAAAAGAGTTGGCACCAGTGTTTGTACATAACTACCGAAATATTAACCCTTATGCATACATACGCCTAGAAAGACTTTATTTTGATTACTTTTTTATTGTATTCTTTTCCATTTTTCGCACAAGATGTACACCCAAATAAAAGATTATTGATAAACTGTCTAAACTTCCTGATTAGTTTTGTTCAAGTCCATTCGGCTGCCCCAGGCATTATTAAGAAAAGGTTCTTGCCAGTTCTTGTCTACATCCTGAATTTTAGAAAGTTACAATTCAAATTAATTGAAATAGACCCATATGTAGAAGTAAGAAAATTTTTCCAAGGGATCGACTTCACAAAAAAAAGAATGTATCAAATATACGTATTATTATTATTATTATTATTATTATTATTATTATTATTCTTTGCTTGGGTTTCTATTACATAAATATTTCCTTTCTGATCCCAATAAGACCAAATGTCAGAAATGGATTCATGACATCTACTAATCATTTTAAAAACAAAACAAAAACACCTAACATCACATTCATTTTCATGGATAAAGCTCTTTGTAATGTGTGAGCTGTACTTGTGAGTAATATGTTTTGTATTTATTTAAAGAATGGGCTACAAGGTATCCCTTCAATGAGTCTATCGGAACTTTTTCTAATCAATGCAAGAGCTCCAAATAAAAATGGTATTATTGATGTCCTCAGGTGCCACATTTTTAGATTTGTATCCTTGTATTTTGATAGTTTTTTGAAAATCTTCAAAGATACATTACAGTCTATAGGGACTGCCATGCCACTAAGAAAGCGCATTCTGTTTTTGTTGTCTTTGATCCTCGATGCCTGCGCGATTAGCTTTGCTTTTTCTGTCTGTGTGTATTGTAAAATCCAATAAAATTAATATTTCCTTTGATTTTTGGTGTATACTCATTTCTCTCTGGGTACCAATCAGCGACCTAAAGTCAAAAGATTCTGCAGCCTTAATGTCATAAGATTCAAAGAAGAATGAGCCTCTCAAAGACCTACAGACTTTGTTCACTTGAAGCCTTTTTCAATCATTGATCTGAACGGTTGTATACAGTTGACAGTTTGAGGATTTCTGATCGGGTTGGACTCCATGCATGACATCTATAAGTATAACTGACGATGCTATTTCATAACTAGTAGTTAGGTTAATGCATTAGTTTTCTAGTATCTTGTGGCGTTGGACAAGACTATCCCCGGCGTTGTATATTCTATAGTTAATTTCCTTATCTCCTATACTAAATATATTTTAACAGATCTCTACATATGTTTTATATTTATTAATCCTAGATTCTGAATTTTTGTGATGGATTCCGGGTACGTCACATCACTTCCTTCATTGCAATTCTTTCATTCCAATTCCAGATCATATTTTCTTTTTTATATAAATTTTATATTAATTCCTACTTCTTGGAAGAATTGGTAATGAAAGTTGATTTTTTTTTGTTCAAGATCATTCTTGTCCCATGTCAGCAGCATAGCCCCCTCCCTCCTCATTATCACTACACTGGCTTTGAAGGGAAAACAGAAATGCTAAGAGTAATAAATTCATTACGGATGTGGTATACTTCTTTTATGTGCCGTGTTACTTCAGGACGTAGGCGATCGTGGCTCTCCACTTCTTCCTGTCCTTTGTAGCTCTCAATAAGTTTTGTCTTTTCGTTATTTACCCCAGACCCTGTTCTGCCATCCGTTAAATATGTCACGCTTTACATTCCTTTGTACCTATTTCCCTCTATCCGCCCTGTGAGTATCAGATTTTCCAAGCCTTCCTTTCCCAGTAGGTATTCCTGAAATTTCAGTTGCCTCTTCCTGATGTTAAATATTGTTTGCATCCTCTCCAAAACTTTATCGTTGCTCAAATGTTCGGCCCATGGTGTCCTTAGCATCATTCTGTAGAACCACATTTAGGTTGCCTCAAGTCTCTTCTTCATTGAAGAGGAGGACAAATATCAGGTAGCAGTTCAGTACACTTTTCTTTGTTTCCAACGAAATCCTCATGTCTTGCAATACTCTTTTGTTTCGAGCTTTTGAAATGCGTCTCTACGTCTTCGGTCGCACTTTCTTTTCTCTGTCAGGACAATTCCCAGATATTTAAACTTCCGCACCGGCTTGATTTTAGTGTCCCTGACCTGAAAATCGCATTTTGGTCTCGTATTTTGTTAGCGATCATGCATTCTAAGCATTTTGTTCATTTTTCTTGTGTTAATACAAGTTTTCTTTTCTGGACACAAAGTATGTAAAAACGTCCAAAAGTTCCGCATTTCCGTTCGCTTTCGGCTATACTTTTAGCCATTATGATGGATGGTCTGATTTTTACTTTAAACTGAATGTATGGCTTGTGTTATGTATATATCTAGTGTTATAGGGATGTTTTATTTTCCAAACACGATTGTGGCTGTATTCATAGTTAATGTTATTGAGTTTTGTATTTTTCTTTTAGGGCTTCTGTTATTTTTAATCATTTTTTTAAGTACATGAGTTTATTATATATATATATATATATATATATATATATATATATATATATATATATATATATATGAGCGCATGCGATAAATGTGTGAGGGATTGTGTGTACGCATTGCTATACGGTTATATTTGCCATTTGGTTATATCTTGCGTGTGTTTTCCAAATTGGGACGCGAGTAAATGTAAGCTGGTGGACTAATCCTTTGAGTTTTTGTCAGTTCATCAAATTGTTGCTTCTCGGTTGTTCACCTCTCTTCCAACACGCACCGACGCCGCCCGTTGTCGGACACAAACGGAAACATGAGTGGAACAGACTGGAGCGAGCCAAATGCAATCAGCGAACGACATGCCAGAAAAGGAAAGAAACAATCGTCTAACAGAAGTTTTAAATTGATCAGAAAGCAACATTTGCGAACAAACGAAGAGAATGCAAAGGGAATAAAAACAAACAGGTGAAAGTTTGAGTAACGTGTTTCCGATTTGAAACTGAAACTGGAATGATAATCGAAAAGAAGCGACAACGTTGGTAGAAATAGATCCGACATCTCACACAGCCTGGTCCTCGAACCCCGCCCAGCACGGCGACAAACCAATATATACTTAGTATTGCGTGAAGACAAGGCCACACGTGTTTGATCAAAACCACACAGGTCAGATATTTCTGCTTTCGTTTTTAAAGGATTCTCTTCTTTTTTTAGCGCCAGCACATCATCAGAATATTCCCCAAGGGTCAAAGAGTGAGCATGAAAATTCTGGCTTTGTCGGTCCTTCAGAAAAGAAATAAAGGCATTTAATATCAATAATAAAAACAAAAAAGTGATGAATGTGGTTCGTCAACGTGAAGGACAGGGGTACCGTATTTGGACAACCTGAGTTATGTAGAAGCGAAACAGATTCTATATTTGAAAAGTACAAGACGAAAACATTTATAAAGAAAGGGAAAAATATCATAGATTGCATGCGAATGAGTGAGATATGTCAAGTTGCGTTGGTGGAAGAAAATTCTATTAAGTTTCGGATACAGAAATTTAGAAAATAAAATTTGACAAAGCTATCACGGTCTATTAATAAGAAGGAAGAATCCCTTATGAAAATGAAGAAACACAGTGGATGTTAGCGGCTTCAGGAATTCTTTCCTTTTATTCCAAGTGTCTGAAAGCATCCGTAGTACGACTTTTCATATAAGGACCTTCCATCGGGAAATGTATATTTTATATTTTCTTATGTGCTATAATGGCTCTCCGCAACTTCCTAACCTTTGTAGCATTAATTAATTTTTGTCCCTTTCTTATCTCTCCCTGTTCTGCCATCCATTTCCACAATATCATTAGGTAGGTAACTCGTTGTTTCTTTCATTCCCTCTTGTTTTCAGTATGCACTATGAGTGTCAAATTCTTGAAGCCCATTTTCCTCGTTTCCATTTTCAACTGTCTCTTTCCGATTCAAAGATAAAGTGTATGATTCGTTTCTATTTTCCTTAAAACCTCTTTGGTGCAAACCTGCGCCCAATCAGCTTTGGAATTTGTAAGGGGGAGAATTTTAAAAAAAGGTAAACTCATATAATAATTATACCCGCATTTGCATACTATGTTAATATGAGAAATTAGCAATTATTTCCCAGACACAAAAATCTTCCTTTTCCACAAAAATTTTAAGCCCTCATATAAAACAATTTTTATTAAAGTGAATATGAAGCCGGTTAAATTTTTTTAATATAAAATATACCACTGTTACCCATTTGACACGCCCTCCCCATCCTCCATAACAATTAAGTTACATGTTTGATTTCACTTTTCACTGTATTCATTTACAATACACTTGCATTCCTGCCCCTTTCAATTCTTTTCTTCACCTCCTTTTCCACTTCCCTTTCCCCTAACACCCAATGTCTTTCAATCATTATATGCCTGCTACTTTTTTTTTAAAGATAATTATGTAGCGTCATTTCTGGTCTTTTGAAATAAAGCGTTAAAGTGGTCATTTTGAAATTAAAACCCGACGAGACCGCCAGGTCGAAACAACGGTCGCGTATTTTAATTGACCCCACTTTTTTAAAACTATAATATATATATATATATATATATATATATATATATATATATATATATTACTGATTTAAAATATGTTTCTTCGCTACACAGTAATAACAATGTTTCAAAAATGGAAGCTAAAAGTTTCGAATTTAATTTTGTAATTAAATTAAAAACATTAGTTTCATTTCATCCTCAAGCGAATTTTAGAGTAACTTATTTTTTTAAAGGCACAGAAAAATTCACTGTTCACTGTTTCCAAGGATACAGAGTGTTGTGGATTCCGTGAATGGAATCCTGCACGAATAAATAAACAACGCTAGTAATTGAGATAGAAAAATAAGTGAATTAAACGTAACAATACAGACTTGAAGTGAAGATTAGTAGTCCAGGAATGCGGGTTAATAGAAAGTATATGTACAAGTCTCTGTAAGTAAAGCCGTAATCATCTCTCTCTCTCTCTCTCTCTGTAATCTTGTATAACTCTCTGAGAACACCCTGTGTCTGTCTCCGTATCTCTCAACCTATCTCCACGTATCTCAACGTATCTCGATAATTAACAGTCCACCCACGAGGAATATATGTGGCACAAGGCTGAGTTTAAAGTGGTTTTCTCCGAGCTCGTAGGCTCAGCCAAAAAATATCCCCTTTGAATCTGCATATGTGGGTTCGGGAACTGTCTACCTCCCCGGACGAAACTTTACCCTTCGGCAAAGCTTCGTCCGGGTTCCTCTCTGCAAATGCAGAGAGTTCGGCAGACGTCGAACACAGTCAGAGACTGTATCTCGACGTAATTCAACAGCAGGTATTCTCTCTGTCAGTATAAGTATACTTTGGACGAGTCCATCTTATGTAAAAAGGGGAGAGCCCCAAAACACCCACCTCCTTAGCTTCTTTTTTTTGGTGGGAGTTAATATTTTTTCGCTTATGGTCTATTATTAGTGGTTCCGTGAATTTTCTTTTTCGGCTTGTTCTTCTGATCTCCGTGGCTACTTGTGGTTTTTGTATTTCGAAGGCTTCAAAAAAATCCATCGCGTCTTCATTTTCGGAAGATGACGAGTTTGGTTCCTCTACCCGTCTTTTCTGTATCTGATTTATGTGTCTCCTGTAAGTGAATTTTTCACCTTGGACCGTGTACAGAACATTCTCCAGTCTGTTTATTATCGTACCTGGTTCCCAGTATGCCATATTATTCTTGAACATTCTGAAATAGACCCGTTCGCCTGGTTTGAAGGATCTTTTAGGCATTATCGGTGTATGCCGGTTTTTATTTTTGCTGGGTTTATCAAAAACAGACCGTATTTTGCGGGCAAACATCACTTCAGCTGGCGAAAAGCCAGATGGTGTGTTTCCGTTAGGGGTGATTCTTTAGACTTGTAGGAACTGTTGTATGGCTCTTTCTGTTGGTACGTCCTCTGTTTTTTCAAGGCTCTTTTAAGCGTATCCACAAACCTTTCGGCTTGCCCGTTAGATCGTGGATGGTATGGTGCTATTTTAATATGTTTGACTTGATAATTCGCACAGAATTCTTGAAAGTCGCTCGATGTGAATTGGGTACCATTATCCGTTACAAGACAATCTACAACGCCGAATCTTGCGAATAACTCGTGTAGACAATTAATAGTGTTTTCCGTTGTAGAGTTTTTGTATCTGAAAACTTCTGGGCATTTGCTAAAGTTATTGTTGTGGTAGGATCCACCTAATTTGCATAGTGGAGTACCGACCATATAAATATGGTTGGTACCGGGAAGAGAGGAGAATCAAGAGATTCAACCAGAGACTCTGCCCGACTGCGACTCAGTCAACACATTCTCCAGGAACGGTCTTACCAGGAATATACAAAAGACTATATGTAAATATTGTACACTTTCTTGTTTCAATACATTTTGTTCTAAGTACATTTTGTGTTGCATTATTATTCCATGCATTAGTCAAGTTTCAACAATGGCGACGAGGTAGAAAGAACTATACGAAAAAAAAAAAAAATTGATAATTGATAGCCTTCAACAATTGGGACAAGTAATTGAAGAACCCAGGCTGAAGGAAAAATTATTAATTAAAAGTCCAACATCTAATGGAACGGCGAAGATTCTGAATTTCTGGATATTTAGAACTCGTTAAAGGACGACTAAGCATAAAGGAACGTTCACTCAGAAAAAATTTGAAAGGTGTTGTAAACGAATAACGGTGATTTAAAAAAAAACAAAACAAAACAAAAAAACGGGCCAACTACAAAAAACATGCATGGAATTAAAAGGCGCACAAATACATCGTGTCGACTTTGAAAGGTAACGAACTTTTAAAAAAAAAATTTTTTTTTGGTTGCTCAACAATATTTTATAAAGCAAGACATAAAATAAAAAAAGTCGTAAGTTGTTTCGATTTTTCTGGTCAGATTATATTATATCCGTGGATACTAGAAATTAAAAGTATATTCTTTGTTGCATGAACACTATTAGCAAAGATGGATGAATTATCCAAAGTCATATCTGAATTATTCAAATCCCAGCAGTTGAGTCAGCAATGTCAAAGTGAACAGTTTGCCTTTATTAATAAGGGAACAACAGATAGCACAGAAAAAATATCAAGAAAAGCAAGAGGAAAGACAGCAAAAATATCAAGAAAAGCAAGAGGAAAGACAGGAAGAAATGCAGATCAAGGTTTTAGAAATTCAAAAGTTAACACTGGAGAAATTAAATAACAATCAGGCAAATGAAGGAAATTCTTCATATTCTAATAACATCATATTTAATTCGCTGGAAACTTTCAACTATGGGCCAGACGAAGATAAAACGTTTGAAGCGTACTTTAAACAATATGAAGATATTTTCTACACAGACTGTGAAAACTGGTCGGATTCAAGAAAAGTCAGTCTATTACTAAGAAAGCTAGGTACAGCAGAACATAGCAAATTTGTAGATTTTATTCTACCGAGAAGGACGAGTGAATTGGAATTCTCTGAAACAGTGAAATTGCTAAAGGAGTTGTTTGGAGCAAATATGTCGCTTTGGCATAAGCGATGGTTATGCATGAATGTCGCTAAATCCGACGATCAGGATTACTTAACATATGCATCTATAGTGAATAGACATTGTGACAATTTCAGATTGGCAGAAATTACGGTTGAAGAATTCAAGTGTTTAATTTTTGCTCAAGGTATCCAGTAAGAGTGCCGAAATAAGACGTAGAGTTTTGGCTAAACTCGAATCTGAACAAAACCTTACCCTACAAAAGTTAGCAGAGGAGTGTCGCGGGCCGTAAGTTTAAAGAAAGAGCCTCAAAAAATCGAAGAAGCTGGCATTGCTTATATTAAAAAAATAAAAAAACAGTCAAATTACCCATCATCAAAAAATTGGAGTAAAAATTCGGCGTATTTTAATAAATAGACAAGAAAAATTAAATGAAAAGAACGAGGAGGAAAAAAAGGTTCCACTATATAATTTTAGACGTTGCAACGAAAGACACTGGGAGGTAAATTGCCCATATAGAAATAAGAAATGTTTAGTGTGCCACAA